TTTCTCTCTCTCCCCCCAACTCCTGGCACCCACAATTCCACTCTTTGATTCTGTGAGTGTGACTATTTTAGAGACCTCATGTAAGTGGAATCACAGTCTTTCTGTGACTGGCTTATTTCACATAGTGCAATGTCCTCCAAGTCCATCCATGTTGGCCCATATTGCAGAATTTCCTCCTTTTTAAAACTTGAATGATATTCCACTGTATGTATATGCCCCGTTTTCTTTATTCATTCATCTGCCGGTGCACATTTAGGTGGTTCCCACACCTTGGGTATTGTGAGTAATGCCGCTGTGGTGAACCCAGGAATACTGAAATCTCCTGTGTTCACCTGATTTCAGCTCTTTTGGATAAATACTCAGAAGTGAGATTGCTGGATTACATGGTAGTATCATTTTTTATTTTTTGAGAAACCTCCAAATGGGCTAGGGTCTTTGAATAGACATTTCTTTAGAGAAGACATGCAAATCGCCAACAGATATATGAAAAAAGTGCTCAATGTCACTAATCATCAGGGAACGTTAATTAAATCCCCAGTGAGATATCACCTCACACTTATCAGGATGACTAGTCAAAAGACAAACCCAAAGGACAGGTGTTGGCATGCTTGTGGAGGAATTGGAATCCTTGCACAGTTTTGGTGGGAAGCAGAATGGTGCAGCCATTATGGAAAACAGTGTGCCTGCTTTTGAACTCCATGCAAGTTGAATTATATTTTTGACCCTCTCTTGGCTTGGCTGCTTTCCCTCGTATTGTTTGTGGCTACATGACTTTGAAATGAGGCACAGCATCCCATTTTTTCTGGCTGTCCAACTCCAAAGCCAGGCAGGTTAAAGAAATTACTCAAGTGTGTGCTAACAGGGGGTGTCCTTTTAGTGCATGTGCCCCTATCCAAAATGGGCAGCCACCTACTCATCTCCATTTTTTTATTCCCGCTATTTAAAGAACCAAGGCCCTGCCCTGGATGAGTGGCTCTGTTGGTTGGAATATCATCCTGTGCACCAACAGTGTTGCAGGCTGAATCTCTGCTTGGGTCTCTGGTGGAGGCAACTGGTTGATCTTTCTCTTTCTCTCCCTCCCTCCCCACCTCTCTTTCTCTCTCTCAAAAATTAATAAATATATACTTGGGTGAGGGTTTAAAAATGTAAAATAAAATAAAATAGCCAACATCCAGATTTTCCAATTTTTCAACACAAATCTGAATCTCCTAATTTTAGATGTTGATAAATAATTGGAGAATTACAACTGTGGTGTATTTGAAGCACATTTATGGGCTAGATTCATTCTCTGCACCACCAGTTTTCAACCTCTGCATTAGTAGGTTGGAACTGTCAGCAGGACTCTGTGCCCATCATGAAGGGAGAAGGAAAAATGTAGATTTAGTCTAATCTACCTTCTTTGGGGAGTAGGGAGGGAGCAACAGTCCAAAATGGGGAGGTGTAAAAGCATGAAGAGGTCCCTTTTCCAAGGCAGTGTGGAGGAGCTTGACCTTGGCTGGGCCTGCCCCCATTTTTCTAACTTTGGGTTCAGCTCTGGTTAGGAACTGTAGGCTGCAGCTCCCCCTACTGGATTTAGCACCATCTGTGTTGGTGGGATCTGAAAGTGAGTTTGCTTCTGAAGTCTTTGAGAGGAGGGCATTTACCATTCTGCATAATTTATTAAAGTGCCTGCTGCTGACATGGACTGCAGAGGCACCTGTGAAGATTCACCTTGGCTTCCTGCATTTGTTTGGTCAGTCACCCACACCACTCAGACTTTGTCACTTTAATTCTTTTAAATTGGGAGAATCAGATTGGGTTGTCCTTCCCTCAATCCAAGCCTCACCTTTTCTATACACTGAAAAATATTCGAAGCATTTCTAGCATTCACTTGGCACCTGTCCTGGTTTTTGCGCTGAGATATATGCTCCTATTTTTACACAAATAGGTACTTTCAGTTATTGTTTGGGGTTGAGGGCAGAGTGAAATGTGCAGGCTCAGGTCAGTGGTCTTGCATGTTGATTAAGAGCATGACACCTGGGTTCAGATCTCAGCTCTGCTACTTACTAGCTATGTGACTAAGTTAAGTCACTTAATTTCTTTGTGTCCCTGTTTCTTTATTTTCAAGATGAAGGTGATAATATACTGCTTCATAGGGATGCTGGGAGTATTAAATATGTTAATGCATGCAAAGAGCTTACACAGTGCCTGACATATTATGTAAACATTTGCTTGACCTGGAATCATGGACCTGTTTCTGCCTTCAATCTTGACCTTCAGGTCTTGATTTTGTTTCTTAATTCTGTATCATAGCCCTTCCTCATGCAGTTTTCTATTTTTGATCCCCTTCACCCAGTAACTGTGGGTCTGCAAAGTCCCACTGAGCAATGGAGAATTCTTGGAGCCTCTTCCTCTATGCTCCCAGACATTCCCAACTTGCATCTCTCTGTTGCCAAATCCTGTTGTACCTCCAACATAGTGATAGCTAACACTTATGTGGCTACCATAAGTCAGCTGCTGTTCTAAGTGACTTATAACTCATGGCATCCTCACCCTATAAGAAAGATGGTCTCTTATGCCCATTTTATAGAGGAGAAAGTTGAAGCAGAGAAGTTATCCAGCTTGCTAAGTCACATGGCTAATAAGCAGAGCCTGGATTTGAACTTGACCTGGCTCTAGAGTTTTCCCTTAACCACCGTGATATGCTGCTATCCACTTTTTCATCCTCACGGAGAGAACCCTGGTCTAGACCCTAGACCAGTAGCCTCCTGTCCTGTTCCCTGACTCCTCTCTGCCTCACCAGCCTGGCATTTCCACACTACTGTGGAATCGTCTTTCTGAAAACAAGATGTGAGTATATCATTGTTCTTGCTGAAAACATGTCAGTAGTTTCCCATTGCTCTTGAGACAAAGTCAATACTTGCTGGAGTGCAGTGCTGCCTCTGGCTAGCCCAGCTCCAGCTGAAGGAGAAGCGGGGCAAAGAAAAGGGTCTTTAACCATAGCTCAGACAGAGCACACTACTAGCAAACCCACCAGTAGTAAAGCACGGAGGAAGTAAGTGGCTTGCAAGAGTGTGCCCTCTACTGGAGAGGTGAAGAAACATCATCACTACAGGCCTGGCACTGTGGCTCCTCGTGAACTTAGACATCATCAGAAGTCCACTGAACTTCTGATTAGCAAACTTCCCTTCCAGTGTCTGGTGTGAGAAATTGCTCAGGACTTCAAGATAGATCTGCACGTACAGAGCACAGCTATTGGTGCTTTGCAGGAGGCAAGTGAATTCTGTCTGGTTGGCCTTTTTGAAGACACCAAAGTGTGTACTGTCCATGCCAAATGTGTAACAGTTATGACAAAAGACATACAGCTAGCATGCCACATATGTGGAAGTCATGCCACATATGTGGAAGTCGTGCTTAGCATCCAGAAATCAAGCCAGCAGCATCTGTGTGCGTTGAGTAATCCTGGGCCCTGGTCCTACGTTTGGGCAACCTCCACTCAGCAGGGAAAGAGAGGCTCAGACGATGACCCTGGTCCCTTAGCTGACTGATTGTGCTGTGGAGAAAGGATACATGTATAATACATGTAATACATGTATAATACTGGATACATGTATTATTTCCTTTGTGGGGAAAGGAGGGGCAGCCAGGGAAAGGAATGGGGCTTGTTTTGTGGGTGACGGGAGGATTCATTTATAACTCTGGGGTGTGACCTGTTGCAGTGTGACTGCTCCTTGAACCCACTGTTGTACACTAAGCAGCAAATTCACCTTGTGGCCTCACAGGAAGAGGCAGGGCCGTGCCCAGACCACCCAGGTTGTCAGAACTTGAAAGGCCCCTGGGGAATGCCCAGCTTAACCCCTTTGTTTTCTGAAGGGGGAACTGAGACCAGAGCATGCAAGTAACTTGCCCAAGATCACAGCTGTAGTTTTTCTCTTCAGTTAACATTTATCAGGCGTATACTACGTGCCAGTCACTATGGTAGTAAGCACAATGTAATAATCATGATTTCATTATGAATTATGCTATCAATCAAGATTGATTTCACTAATCTTTGGGAACTGAGAAAGCAGAAACATTATTATATTCAATAAACACTTGTATAGTGTTTTACTAAGTGCCAGGCAGAGTACTAAGCCTTTAAAAAATCTTAACTCATTAAATTCTCATAATCCTTTGAGGATTTAGTGCTATTATTGTTTTTACTTTAAAGATGAGGAAACTGAAGCCCAGAGAGGTTAGGTAATCTGCCCTAAATCACACAGCTAGGAAATTGTTGAGTTGGGATTCAATCCTAGGCAGCCTGGCCTTGCACTGCAAGCTACTCTTCTGTAGTGTCTTGTCACGTGACAGTTCTTATCTCCATTTTAAAGGTGAGAAGATCAAGGCTCATTTGGCTTAAATAACTTGCTCAAGGCTGCATGACTGGGAAGTAACAGAACTAGGATTAGATTTGAACAGTCTGGCTTTAGAGCCCGACTCATGATTCCTCTACCAAATTCCTTCCCAGGGGGGTCTCACAGCCAAGGGGTCTGAGCTAGGGACCGGGCATGGGTCCCTGAGGCAAAGCCAGGAGCCAGGCATCTGGCGTGGGGGTGGTCTTAGGCAGGTCCACCCAGGTTGCAACAGGACCCTGTGCAGCTGCACTGCACAGAGCCCCAGCCAGGTGACTTCACCCTCAGCTACTCCCCCTGTCCATAGGCAGGGCTCCCAAACCTCTCTGTCCAGCTGAATCCCTTGCTATAAACTGCTAAGCCCCTCAAGCTTCCCCTTTCCAATGCTTGAAAACATATATTTATTTACACTTTTTTGCTGTCTCCCTCCAGCTGGGTGGGAGCCCAGGAAGGGCATACTGTGTATCTGATTTCACTATCCGGCCCCTGACACATGCAAGGTGCTTGACAAATATTTGGTGAATAAATGGATAAACAGATGAATGACTCATCGCTTCAGGGGAGGAAATTGGCATAGGAAATCCAGACTGAAGTTCAAGAAGCAGGAACAGGCTTGGCTGGTATACTCACTGGACTTTGTGCAGGCCTGTGAACCAAAGGGTCGCCAGTTCGATTCCCAATCAGGGCACATGCCTGGGTTGCGGGCCAGGTCCCTGGCAGTGAGCATGAGAGGGGCAACCACACATCGATGTTTCTTTCCCTCTCTTCTCTCTCCCTTCCTCTATGTCTAAAAAATAAATAAATAAAATCTTTTAAAAAAAGGAAACAGGAACACATATGGGGTTTACTGGGAAAAGTTATGACTGTGGACCTAGGATGCCCCGATTGGCAATAACTTGTAATTAATCACAATACCTGCGTGCCAGCTCTGTGGCAGGCAACTGTTTCAAAGGTCGTAAGTAATCCAGTCACCGTAACAACCCCAGGGAGTCGACATCATTGTTATTGTTGTAGACGATCAGCGGGTAAATACACACTCTCGGAGTCCGGAACCGAATTGATAAAAATTTTAATGGCCAAAGATTTTCCTGCGCAGGGGCGAACCTCCCCAACTGTGACCGGAGTCACGTAACTACTCAGAGCTACAAAATGGAAGTCGCGCCTGGCTTACAGACTACTGGGTATTTATATTTTCTAGCAAGCAAGCAAAGGCATACAGAAGCAGAGGTGGCAGTTAGCTATTGGCTTATTTAAAAACGGCGAGGGTCCCTGATTGGTGGGTGCTGCTGCTGCTGGCGGGCACTTTCTGGCGGCCCGGGTTAGTTACCTTATTTGGCTAGAATTTTAAACCCAGTTGTTCCCGGATGTTTGTTCATTACTCTGTTCCAGGAACTGCAGATTTAGGGTTGGGTAATGCCCTAGCTGTAATTTTCCTAGCTGGGTATAACATTATCACTAGTTAACAGAAGAGGAAACTGAAGTGTGGAGAGTTCAGTCATGTGGCTGAGGGACAGAGCCAGGAAGCACTGGAGCTCAAATCCATGTATCCTGACCTGGAGCCCCACCTTTTAAACACCCAGCTGACCACCTCTTCACATCCTTCTGGAAAGGATGTGGCTTCTTGTACCCTGATGACCCAGGCATCACATGGGGGCTGAATCTGCAGGTCCAATGCTTAATGCCTTGGTGCCACTTAGAGGTGGGCTGGCTTGTATATGCCACCTTCCAGAAGAAAATTCCTGTTTGCTGTGGGAATGAGGACTCCCCCTTCTACCTGAGGCTGGGTCTTCATTCCCTGGGGTGCTCCATGAATGGACGCAACTGCTGTAGGTGGGGATTTTTCTAGAAGGGACAATAAGTAAGGTTGGCACAAGTTGACATTTCTGTTATATTCTGGAAGGATAGGTGGGTGAGAATAACCATGAAAGTTTTGAAAGCAGACTAATGCTGGCAGAGGGGTGGGTGGGTATAAAATGCATATTTCTAGATGATATTATAAACCTATGATATGTTAAAAGAATGTGGTACTGAGGCAGAAATAAAGAGATCAGTGAAGCCTAAGAGAGAATGTAAAAAATGAACAAAGGACACATGAGAAATTAGTGTATGATAAAAGAGGCACTCCTAATCATTAGGGAGAAGAACATTCTACACACTTTTTTTTGTTGTTATAGCCAGCTATGCACTAGGAAAACAATTGAAGGTCTTTGCTCAGAACTCCTGCTAAAATGGATTACAGAGGAACTAATGATTTCAGTGTAAAAGTGAAAGTGTAAGAGAATGAAGAAGATGCTGGGGAGGACTTTCTAACTACAGCAGCAGAAACAGTCCTAAAGGAAAAGGAAGAATGTAGGGAATCTGTTACCAACCATTTAGAGAGAAACAAACTTGAATTTAGATGTGGACGAAGGCTGTGGACAGCAAATGCATGATGTTAGATGTCCGTTCCACTGGTGACTGCTGGGGAATGTCCAGGCATGGGTTCATGAACTCTCTCAGCATCTTAGGAATTAGGTACTGTTATTTTCATCATCCCATTTTCAGATGAAGAAACTAAAATTTTAAAAGCGTTAAATGACTAGCCCCAGAGTCGAAAAGCTAAAGACTGCCAGAGCTGGGTGTTAAATTTGAACATGACTATTATTTTACTCCTGATAAGAACACCGACTCCAGTGCAGATCTTAACCCAGGAAATCATATTTAAGAGTCTGCCAAAGTTTACCTGCCAGACACTCGTCCTTCAAATTGAACAATCAGTTATTTGCCAAAGGGGCGGGGGCTAGAAGAAGGCTCAGTGTATCAGATGCTGGAGCAGACGGCCACCAGGCACACGTTTGCACAGCAGTAGCAGTTCTGTTCACCCTCCAGGAACAAAAGGAGAGATCTTCACCAAATCACAGTGTAACCACAGCTTCTGAACACAGGTATTCATGTTCAGAACATTACAGTCCACATGGTCTCAATCAAGGCTTTCCTGATTCCTTGTGTCTTGGGAGTTTCGGGCATCTTGTTTGGACTTTGGGGCACGGTGTACTATTGTGTTTCCCAGCTTGGTGGTGCCTGCTGGGGGTTTTCACGGAACCCAGAAACACAGTAAAATATGCTGCTTGGCATCAAATCTGTACAAAAGCATGTCCCACTCCCTGCCCACTCTGTTGCCTCCTGCCTCCACAGATATTAGGCACTTTTGTTAGGTCCTGTTGCACGATACTCTTTCGCCTTTCACCGTGTCTTCATGCAGCCGTGAGTGACTTGAGTAGGCTTTCTACCCCTTCTTATTTCCTCACAAAAAAATGGTAACATGTGACCTGCACTCTTCTGCATCTTAGGCTTCTCTTTCCTTTTTCAGTCTCACTTAAAAATATACCCTTGAGATTGTTCCATATTAATGCAGAATGCTTTCTTGGTCTTTACATCTGAGTAGTGGTCCATTGTGTAGTTGTGATACAGTCTGTTTTAAGCACCCCCCGCCCTATCACACTTGGCTTATTTGAAACCTTTTGCTCTTATAACCACTACTTCAAGGAAAAACTGTATACGTGTATTATTTCCTTTGTAGGAGGGTTTACCTCCAGCACAAATTCCCAGAAGTGGGATGACTGCGCCCAAAGGGAAAAACCACCTGCGATTTTGATAGGTACTGCCAAATTGTTCACACAGGGTTGACCTGTCCACCAGGAGCGTGCATATCTGTCTCCACAGTTTCTCAACAGAGACTGTTGGGATGAACATTTTAAACATTCATTTTAAAAGATGTCTATTTCATTTAAAGGCATAGCAGGAAAAAACCTGTAATTTGCACATTGACCCCCGGAGTTCACACTTTTACAGAGTTTTGTTTTAAAATAGGTTTATGGAAGTAAAAGTGGCATGTTGAGTCAAGCACAGTGCCCAGTCAATTGTATTATACTAATAGGTGGTACCTAGACATACAAAATTATGATGGCTCATGACCGAAGCTTGGGAAGTATCACCATGTTTATTTTTTTCTCTTTGGAATAATAAAACCAACAGCTTGTTCTTCCTGTGTGCAGAGCACTGTGCTGGGAGCTTTCACATCACAACAGATCTGTGCAGTGGGCACTGCTTTTAATCTCCACTTTATGGACAAGGAAGCAGAGACTCAGAGCAGCTAAGCCACTTCCCTGAGGTCTCACAGCTAGTGTGTACGTATAACCTTCCTTCTGTTCTGAGGCCATTTCTGACTGGAGTCTTCATTTTCAATTTGCCTGTCCACCTCCTGGGAAATGGACCTTCAGGGGCTTTTGTGGCCTATAAACAGCCAGGAAGACACAGCCTGGATTCGTAAGCTGCTTTTGGTGCTTCCGTGACTGGTGCTGTGGGTGTGCTTTCTGACCTTCTGCTTCAACTCAGCTTCCTTATTCCTGCAGCTTTGCCTCAGCTCAGCCAGATTTCAGCCCACCTGTGAGTAAAGCCACACAGCCCATTCAGACCGACAAAGGCTATTTTAGATTTGACTCAGAGGTTTAAAGATTTTTTGTTTGTCTGTTTCTTATCTGTGCTTCCTTCTTTTGAGCTGCTCCTGCCTAGAGTCAGGCATTGAGCCGAAGGTGCTCAGCTGGGATCTGCCTGTCTGTTGGTCCTGGGGGTTGGGAGCTCACAGTGAAGACTCTGGTTTGGGGGTAGGTGTAGGGGACCCCAAATGGCCTGTCCCTGGCTGGTGCCACATTTGTGTGAGATGTAAGTTGTCATCATCTGTAACCCCTGTCAGGTGGGGGACCCTCTGGGGAGACTTAGGAGCAGGGAGGTAGCCAGGTAACACTCAGGTATTCCCACTCAGCTGCCCCTGTCTCTGGAGCTGGACAAACTTATGTTCCAATCTGGTTTTGCCCATTTTCTTGCTTTGTGACCCAGGAGAGGTTACTTTTCTAAGCCTCAGTTGATCATCTGGGAAACCAGAATAATAATAAATACCCCCTCATTGGCCATCATGTAGTTTGAAAGACATGCTAAGGACCACCCAGCACAGTGCTTTGCAGATAGTTTTTGCTTAGCTCATGGTGACAGTAGAAATCACAATAGTTGATGATCATTTTGTGGTTATTCATCAGTCTCGTGGATCAGGATCAGAAGTGGAAGGAAACTTGGAAATATAAGCTGACCTAGTACAAGCCATTGTGGGGGCTGAGGGCGGGCAGGCGCTGAGCCACATGAATTAGTAGGGACAGGAATCACATCAGGATCTATGGAAACCTGATTCCTGGGGGTGGCAGAGATGACCAGGGACTGGAGATCATGTGGTGATGTTGTGATAGGGATACAATTGTTTCAACCAATTTCTGAAAGCACTTGGCCCTGAGGAAATGTGCTGACATGTGGTTGGATCCAGGCCCCATGGACTTTAGGGACTGAGGAAGGGGTGTCTGGCAGAAGTCACAAACCCAAACTCCTGCAGGGACCAGGTGCAAAAGGGAAAGAGTGGAGCTGGTGTGGTGTGAGACAATAGGGAATGGTGCAGACTGTGGAGAACTGGATAGTGTATCCTTTATCTGAAGAGGACAACCATTGCTCAGCCCATAGCAATGTGGGCACAGTGTTGCCACAACTTGTGATTTTTCAGAAGGAGCCAGAAATTTACATTTTAGTTGACATTTCATGACTTTTAAATATTTTCAAATCAATTCATTCAAATTTATAAGCTTGGTTTGTGAGCAAGGACTCCAGATTGTGACCTCTGAGCATGAAGAAGGCCCCAGGCCAGGGATGGAGATAGGCTGTGTAGGGCTCTGCCAGTGTGGCTTGGGGTCGGGGAAGGTCTGACTGTGCAACCAGATGAAGGGGAGGGATTGAGGCAGAGGCAGGTACTGCACCTGTGAATGGGACTAAAACAAGACCAGAGGGAGAGTTCTGACTTAGAGGTTATAAGAGGGAACGCCCCCAAAACCCAGGATTTATTTATTAAAATGTATTTATTCTTACATATTTAAACTTCAGTCACCTTCAAAGTACTCCCATTTGATACAATACACTTATAGAGATTTTTTTCCATTCCTCAAAACAGTTTTTGCACTTATTGATTTTGATGCCTTTTAGTGCTTCTGCTGTTTTTTTTGTTTCACCTCTTCCACGTTGGCAAAACGTTTCCCTTCAAGGACTTTTTTCATCTGGGGAAAAAAATTATAGCTTGAGGCAAGATCAGGTGAATAGGGAGGGCGGGGCCTGGAGGTCATGCTGTTTGGGGGTCAAAGACTGCTGAACACTCAGTGTAGTGTGGGCACATATGCTTGTAAGTCACCCATCATGAAATGGACAAATGCACTGAAAGAGTTTTAAAAAAATTCACTGAAGCTGAGTGCAGCCTGTCATAACACCACCAATGGGTGCACTGATACAGGTGGGTTCCTAGAATACTCACCTGGTGGGGGAAGCCTGTACTGCAAGGGGCCTACCTTCCAGAAGATAATACTGTTTTTTGGGGGTCCTCCCTCATACCTGGATCCCCAAGGTCATGCCAGGGTGGGTCAATAGCTTCATTTTCAGAAACAGGGGAGGGGATGTATTTTGGGTAAAGATGAGCTGACACTATTGTACCAGTTGTGAAAATATTGAAATACTATCAACCCAACTGGTAAATAGCCATTGGACCCACTGAGCCTCATACCTCCCATCGATCGTCTTCGCTACCCTACCTCGTCACAACCTGGCAGTTAAGGAGGTCACTGCCAGCACAGCTGGGCCCCAGGGTCCATTCTGAGTGGTCAGTGGGCAGTGCCCAAACCAAGGCGGTTGTCAGCATCAACCTCTCTACCCTCATTGCAGATAACAGATCCTTATCTGGAGTGGCTTAAGCACAGAGGAGAAGAGTTTTTAGAGGACAAGGGAATCAGGTGGAACTGGAGGGCAGGGCGCTGGGTCCCCGAGGGACTGGAACAGGGGGCTGCATCCCTGAGGTCACGTGACTTTGTCTTTGTTCTTCCCTGGTCCTTGGAGCCCACTGTGACAAACAGCCACCTCAGCTCGGGACTGTGTGTCTCTGGCCACCTGCAGCCCAGTCACTAAACATGTGAGACATTTGAACCAAGTGTCCACCTCTCTGCCAGTCTCCTGTGTCCAGGGGGAGATGGCCCTGGTCAAGGGTAGGCACAGAAAGGCACCCTTGGGGATTCCCCTTGAGGATTGTGGAGTCACAAGGACCCCAGTGTGGCTTTATTCCAAGCTCTGTAGGTGGCAAGAGGTGAGGGGCAGAACTGATCAGGGGATGAGCTGCTTGATCTGGGTGGTGGGAGGGGTTGGGGCGGTGGGTGGATGAAGTTGGTACTTACAGGTATGAGACCTCCAGAAAGCGGAGGCAGGGGGTGAGGCTGGAGGAGCCTCCAGCAGCCTCTACGTAAACCATTGAAAAAAGAGCTTTCCCCTGCTACTTGGCTGATTGGCCTTCCTCTCTCCTGGCTCGCTGTAATTTGTCTTGCACAGGTCTCTCCTAGTTATTTTCTTAAATACACATGCATTTGCAGGGGCTGTCGGTGGTCAGTGCACTTCCTCCACACCCCCCCCCCCATCACAACTTACTGACCTCTTCTTCCGGCCAGTCACTGTGGGCAGTGCTGTGCTTGCTGAGGCTGGGAGCCCTGGGCCAGTCCCTACACCTCCAGTCTCTCGGTTTCCTCATCTGTAAAGTGGGGGCACTAAATGGAATGTACTTCATGGGGATGTTAAAGGATTAAATAAGTTAATGACCAGTGAAATAGCTCCTCAAAGCCTGCTTGCTCCCCAGCGCCAGCCCTGAAATAGCTCTTGGCACGAGTCAGTGTTCAATAAATGTTAACATTCGCTCATTAAATATTTGTTGAGTTCCTCCTATGTGCCAAATACCGTGATATAATGCTGGGATATAATGCTGAGCAAAATTCCCTCATGATGCCCGCAGTGTTTTTCAGTTAGGGAATGTGTAAGATGCTGTAACAAATAGCCCTTAAATACAGTGACTTAAACAAGACAGAAGGTAAGCTTTCCTCTGAAATGTCTGTCCAAGGCTATTAGGATGGCTTTATCCTTTCCACACCCAGCTCCAACTTTTGGTACAAAGTGGTCACTTCCAGTTCTCACCATCTTCCAGCCAGTGTAAAGGAGAAAAGGGGGCAGGGGGTGTTTATACATTCTTTTCAGGGGATCGACTCTACCACACACATACCCCACTGGTCAGAATTCAGTCACTCAGGCACAGCAGCTGCAAGGGAGACCAGGAACTGTGGTCTCGAACTGGGCAGCTGTGCTCTCTACTAAAACTCAAGGATCTCTTACTAAAGGGAAGAGTGGATATTGGTGCAAATCTAGCAGTCACTGCCACCACCTACAGGCTATGTGTTGGACTTGGAACTCTGGTCCCTGGAGGTGAGGTACTAGCAAATGGCGTCTTGCCCAGACTTAGGTTTTAGATCACTTCAGAAGCTTCCTCAGAGCATAAGGGGGGGGGGCCCGAATACAGCCAATGGACTTGTTTAACTGCTGTGTCTGTCTGTCACTTTATTTTGCTATCTCTGGAGTCCTTGCTGCAGGCAGGGACCAGTAGGCCGGGTTCTCAGGCGGAGGCCTGCAGGCACAGTAGGGGCACTGGGGCTGGAACAGGGACACCTACTTCTTACTCATTCGCCCGCTCAGCTATGATTTATCAGCCGCTGTGTCTGGACGCAGGGCTCCAGCGACAGTCCTACCAGGTGCGATGAGCACCGGGGGCCAGGTTCAGTTCTGGGTGCGTCCTCCAGTGACAGTGCAGGGTGAATGCTGGCACACCACACTGACATTGGCCTCTTTTGTCTGCTTCTCTTGGCCTTAGGACCCCCGGAGCAAACACAAGTTTAAAATCCACACTTACTCCAGCCCTACATTCTGTGACCACTGTGGGTCGCTGCTGTACGGACTCATCCACCAGGGCATGAAATGTGACAGTAAGTACATTGGCTCTTTGACAGCTGGGCCGCTTCCTGCCGATTTGGGGTCTGGGTCCGAAGAATATTCTGTCAAGTCCTGGGTAGGCTCTCAGGCCGGTGGTATGTTGCTGAGTAATGATCCTCTCACCCCAAAATGTGGGGGCTTAAAACAGTAGCTATTTATTTAGCCCATGATTCTTGGGTCTGGGATGGGTGTACTCATGCATGTGTGCTGGGTTAGCAGGTTGGCTGAGGGGTGTCTTGGCCTGGATAGCGTCACTCGTCTGTCCAGAAGGCCGGCTGTCCTGTGGGAGATGGGGATGGCGGGGCCACATGTCTTACCTTCTGAGTAGGCTAGCCTGGGTGTGCTCACATGGAGTTTGCAAGGTCCTGAGGGCTTAAAGGGAGCAAGTCCCATCGACTGAAGCAGATCATAGGCAAGGTTCCCAGTCAGTGTAGGAGGGGACAGTCCTCAAGTGTGGACTCCAGGAGAGGTGGACAAATCAGGGCCATTGCAGCTGGTTTCCTCATGATGTGCGACACCCGTGGGTTCACACTGGAAGAGGGAAGAGGATGGTGCTCTGGCCGGGCTGAGGTGGGTGAAGGCGGGTGACAGCAGGGCTGCTCTTTGTTGAGCGAAGGACTGACTGGCTGGCACTGGGGAGAGAGCAGGCGCTGAGAGCGTTGGCTGCAGGGGGACAGGGACTCGGGGGCTGAAGGCTCCAGAAGGCCCTGTTGGCCCCCAGTGGGCTGAGCTGTCCTGGGGGCCCTGAGATGCCGACGACAGGAGACGTTCAGAGGGGCAGAGCGACAGGGAAGAGTGCGAGCGTGGGTGGGCAGGAAGAGGGTGAGAGATGGAAACACAGACTCCGCACGCACAACAGGGGCAGGTGATGGACCACACACAGGTGCGCTGAGGTGTGGGGAGAAATGGGGCGAAAGCTATAGAGGACTGAGCAAGAGAGAGATTCACTCAAGCAAGAGGAGGAACTGGCAGACCAGCGTGAGTGCATCACACCAATTATTGCGAGTGACGCACTCACCTGGGATCACGCAGGGTCATGGAGATGGGGAGAGAGCACAGACAGAGGCGGGATTCCCGAATCATGCAACGCAGGTGACAGAACTGGTCGGACTCAGTTTAAAGACATACTTTATTCCTCTTGCCTACATCGAAGTCTGTTCCTGTAACCAGGTGTATGAATAGTATGGGGGCTCCCCTCAGGGCCTCTTCAGGCCCATTCTCCTCTATCTCCCCACCACCTTTCGGCTGCCGGTTCACAGTTGCACCCCTTGTGGGGAATTGCCCAGGGGTCTCTCCCAAGATGGTGCCCCTCCCAGGGGCTGGCCCATGGCCAAAGCTGGCTGATGTTGTCATGAGAAGGCCCCAGCTCTCAACTGGGGACAATTCTGAAGGGCATTCTGAGCCCAGGAACCCCTCACTGTCAGCCTTGGGGCACTGTCAGCTCCTCTCTCAGGAGGCACCGCCATAACCTGCTGGCAGCTCGCCTTCTCAGACTCTTTCCGGGGAGCTCAACTGTTAGCCGTAAATATGTAGAAATCGAGAGATGGCACGTGCAGATCAGGGTTCCCACTCACCTGCACAAGCGGGAAGCCTTGGCTGCCCGGGGCACACGCCTCCCACTGCTGAGCCTGAGTGGGCGGTGGGGTCGTCCCGTTGGCCAAGGCCCACCACACGCACATCTCTTCCCTCACTTGTGTCACCTGCAGCCTGGCACTGAAGGTGGTGATTCTTGCTTTAGAGTCCTTGGGGATGTGCAGGGTGCATCCTTAACCTTTGGGAGGATGGACAAGTTCCACCTCTTGTGTCCACGAGGGCCTGGAGGGGGAGGATAGTTGGAGAAGCCTTTCGGATGTGAGCTGGGTGGGCAGGCTTGTTTTGGCCAAGCTTGGGGGGCTTGTCTGCCTAGAAGGGAAGGAGGGGTCAGGAGGGGCCCAGCCTGCCTGGGTGGGGACAGAGGCCCACAGGACCAGCCCTGCCAACCCAGTCTCCCCCCGTCTGCCCTGCAGCCTGCATGATGAATGTACACAAGCGCTGCGTGATGAACGTCCCCAGCTTGTGCGGCACAGACCACACGGAACGCCGAGGCCGCATCTACATCCAGGCGCACATCGAGAGGGACGTCCTCATCGTGGTCGGTAGGTGCCCCCAGGTCAGGCGGGGGCAGGCCGGTGGCGGGATGGGGCTGCATGGTGCTGCCTCCTGCTCCTGCATTGTAGCCCTTCCCTGCTGCAGGCACCCCAGAGCTCTCTGGGCACCTCTGGGTGGCTGTGCTCAGAGACTCCCCACTCCCCTCTTCCCCTCCCTTCCCCACTGTCTTTCAGTATCTTCGGAGCTTGCAGTTCTAGTTCATTTATTAAGATAGCAGAGAAGTCATGCTCTGGGTACTTCCCCAAACATTTTCAGTGGGAAGAATAGAATCTTGATGAGAAACACCTAATTCGGGAGAGTGTTGCACCTTGGGGAGGAGGAGGATGCAGTGTGCACCCCTGGGAACTTCCCATGTATTTAAAATATTTCTTCCTTGCACCTGAGGGTGCCTACACTGGTCCCTGGTATACTGTACTTTTGGTACTTGTGAAATATTGTGTAATAAGAAGGAGGGATGCTACAGCCTGCTGGAGCGGAGCCGGGAGACCGGGCAGTGGAGGGCAGTGTGGTGTCCGCCACTCATGTAGCTCCTGGCTCTGACCTAGAAGCCTAGGCAAAGTGCCGGCCTGGCCGCAGTGCCCTGGGAACTGTGCTGCTGTAAAGCTGAAGTGAGGCAGTACACTGAACTGGCCAAGAATGGGGTATTATAGCTAATTTAACACAATTAGGTTTTATGACTTGGTAACTTAGACAGCTGGTCGTGGAAGGGATTGATTTTGCAAAAAGTGGTCTATTTCTTTTTGAGGCCAAAAAGAGGCCTCAAAGTGGTTCAGTAGCTCTGATGTGCTGAGCCCTGTGCTGGGAGGGACCTTACCTGCAACATACAAACGTTGAAAAATATCCCCGTAAAATAGAATCCATTTTACATCGAAATTCGTGACACTCACTGAGCGTTCATTGAATTCCTTTTTTCTCTAAAAGGAAGGCACATGGCTGACTTCTTTCCACAGGGACACTTGGGGGTTCTGGGAGAGAATCCTTCAGTCACTTGTTCAAAAGTAGCTGGTTTTCCCCGTGGACTAAGTAAACATCCAGGTGCTGAAGGGGCAAAGATGAGACCCTGCTGCCCTCTACTGTCAAATCCTGGGAACTACACAGGCTCAAATGTGTTCCTGGAACCTTTCTGCAGGCCATCGTGTCTGTGTGGATGCAACTCACTGAATGAACAGTGCTCCAAACCCCACTGATCATGACGTCTTCAAGGTTCATCCATTGTTCCCACTACAAAAAAGAAATAATTATGGGACGTGATGAATGGCAGCAGTCATATTATAATCTATAAATGTATCAAATCCATACATTGTATACCTTAAATGTACATAGTGTTACATGTCAATTATGTCTCAATTTTCAAGGAGAGAAAAACAATAGTTCGGGCAGGATGCCTGCAGGGAATCAACCGATCCTACGATTAATTTTACAGCCGCACCACTGAGCTACAACAGCCAGGGCCTAATTATGTCTCAATTTTAAAAAGCTTACATGTTGTCTCTTTATTACCCACAGCAACCTTGTGAAAGATCTACTGTGTTCATTTTATGCTTTTTTAAAAATATAATATTTTATTTATTTATTTTTAAATAGAGGGGAAGGGAAGGAGAGAGAGTGGGAGAGAAATATCAGTGTGTGGTTGCCTCATATGTGTCCCCTATTGGGGACCTGGCCTGCAACCCAGGCATGTGCACTGACTGGGAATCGAACCAGTGACCCTTTGCTTCACAGGCCTGTGCTCAATCCACTGAGTTACACCAGCCAGGGCCATTTTATGAAGCTTTTGAGGCTCAGAGAAGTTATGCGTCCAGGAGCTTACTATAATAATAATACTACAGTGGCTAACCTTTGAGTTCTTAGAATGCCCATCACTGTACAAAGCACTTACAAGTAATTTCTTTACATGTTTTTCAGTAACTCTGCTGAGCTAAGGAGTCATATTATTCTACACATCAGGAAGCAGGCTCAGAGAGTCACACACTTGGTCATGTAGTTCCATTTGACCCTTGAGTATGATACACTAGGTTCCTATTTAGTTTGGGTCCCTGCACACACACGCACCATCCCTTATTTCTTCCCTTTGTGGTTTAGTTAAGTTACCTCTTATGGGTACTCCTTGAGGAGTCTTAGTTCCATTTGCTGCAATGCTGTGTTCCTTCAAATTCAAGGTCAGAGTCTTCCCTCTTCACCACACATGCTCTGGCTGATGGTTCTCAGGCAATCCTGGTAGACGCCTATGAATATTGGTTTCCTGCTGCTGCCCTACTGGAAAATACAAACTGGATGATTTAAAAAAACAGGTATCTATTCTCTAAGAAGTATGAAATCAAAGTGTCGGCAAGGCTGGCTCCTTTTGGAGGGCTCCGAGGAAGGGTCTGGTCCTTGCCTCTCTCTTAGTTTCTGGTGGTCACCATCAGTCTTTGCTGTTCTCCACTCTCTACCTGCATCATCACTGCATCTTTCTTGCATGACTCTGTGTCCAAATTCCCTCTTATAATAAGGACACCAGTTGTTGGATTAGGGACACACCCTTACCCAGTATGACCCTATCTTAACTTGATTACATCTGCAAAGACCCAGTTTCCAAATAAGGCCATGTTTACAGGTACTGGGGTTAGGACTTGAATATATTTTTTGAAGAGATACACTTCAGACCACAACAAGGGGAAAGGGGAGAAAACTTGGGGCTCCTTTGAAGTTCTGATAGCACTGATTGACAGCTTCAAGCACACTTTGTAGTTTTCTAAGTGCTTTGATGTTGGAACATCCAATAGAGATGGTGTGTTGCCCTCATGCGGAAGGAGGAACTAAGGCTCAGCGAGGCTGAACAACTTGTCTGGTGTCACGTGCAGCACCTGGGCCTCCTGAGTGCAGGTGGCTGTGCCCTGCTGTTGCTCCTTCACCATGCTGGGCACAGTCTGCACTTGGCACAGGCTTGTTGGTTGATTGATGAGGGAAGAACCTCATGATTTGACAGTTGTTCTCTATAAATAGAGCCAAGATGGACATTTTTGTCCAAGTGATTTAATGGGGCTGCTCCTGGGGAAAGCAGACTGAAGACAGATCGGGGGGAGGCGAAGTGAGAGTGTGACCTCCACTGAAGACCAGCCTCGGCCTGGGGCCACGGACGTCTGGACCAGCATCCAGCACAGAGCCCGCCCCCTTCAAGGCCAGAGGGCCGTGCTGTGAGCATGAGTCAGTGCTGGGCATAGAATGCTGTCTTTCCAGAGTCACATGTTGAAGCTCCAACCCCAGTGAGGTGCTATTTGGAGATGGGCCTCTGGGAGGTGATTAGGGCTGGATGAGGGCTCCCACGGTGGGATTTAGTGAGTAGCTTTGTAAGACCCAAGAAGGAACACACCAAGGCACCTCATCATTACATTAGCCAGGATTAAAATGAAGGAGAGAACCCTAGACGCAGCAAGAGCTAAGGGAACAGTGGCCTACAAAGGAGTTCCCATCAGACTGTCAGCTGATTTCTCAAAAGAGACCTTACAGGCAAGAAGGGGCTGGAAAGAGGTATTCCAAGTCATGAAATCCAAAGACCTACAACCAAGATTGCTCTATCCGGCAAAACTTTCATTTAGAATGGAAGGGCAGATAAGGTGCTTCTCAGATAAGATCAAATTCAAGGAGTTCATCATCACCAAGCCCTTATTATATGAAATGTTAAAGGGACTTATCTAAGAAAAACAAGATGGAAAAGATGAACAGTGAAAGGACAGCAAACTCACAGGTATTAATAACCACACATAAAACAAAAGCAAACTAAGAGGACAGCTAGATCAGGTGCAGAACCATAGAAATGAAGATCACATGGAGGGTTAGCAACGGGGAAGTGGGAGGAGGAGAAGGGGGAAGAAGGTACAGAGAATAAGTAGCATAGACAGTAGGTAGAAAATGGGGGGAGGGCAAGAATAGCAGGGGAAATATAGAATCTAAAGAACTTGAGACACATGGTCATAAACTAAAGGGGGGAATGGTGGGGGAGGGGGTGTGCAGGGTGGAGAGGCATGAAGGGGGGAAATAGAACTGTAATGGCATAATTAATAAAATATATTTTAAAATAAAAAAAAAATAAAAAAAAAAGAAAAGGACGAGAAGGGGATGTGTCTTTCTCTCTGACACGTGAGAGCACAGCAAGAGCCAGGAAGTGGGTTCTCACCAGGAACGGAGTTAGCCTGCACCTTGATCTTGTTTTTTTTTTTTTTTAATTTATATTTAGAGGGGAAGGGAAGGAGATAGGGAGAGAAATATCAATGTATGGTTGCCTCTCATGCATCTCCTGCTGGGAACTGGACTGCAACCCAGGCATGTGCCCTGACTGGGAATTGAACCGCGATACTCTGGTTTGCAGGCCCGTGCTCAATCCACTGAGCTATACCAGCCAGGGTCTTGTTTTTTATTTATTGATTTTAGACAGAGAGAGAGAGAGGTGGAACGAGGTGGACTCTTTGTTGTTCTGCTTGTGTGTGCATTCACTGGCTGATTCTCATCTGTGTCCTGTCCAGGGGCTGAACCTGCAACCTTGGTGTATGGGGATGACACTCTAACCAGCTGAGCTGTCCTGCCAGGGCTTTCGCCTTGATCTTAGCCTTTCAGCCTCCACAACTGTGAGAAACAAAAGCCCACTGTTTAAGCCTCCCAGTCCATGGTATTTTGTTACAGGAGCCCTAGGTGACTAAAACAGTCAGTCTGTGCTGTAGGATGCTGGGGCTAGAGGTGGGAGGGTGGTGTTATGTCCCAGGCCAGGTGGCTTCTGTGTGGCTGAGGGTGATTATCTGGACCTGGGAACATCCAGGAGCCATTAACAGCCAGCACCCAGAGGAGCCAGGGGATACGTTTGTCAGCCGGTGCGGAGGGAGCTAGGCAGGTTGTAGGACGCCTGGCGAGCCCTTTGATCTCCCAAGCATCCTTCTGGTTCCCTGGTTGGGACTTCAGGTTCTTCCTCCTTGATCTCAGCCAGACAGATCAGAGGGCTAAGGACTGGGCGGGA